ATTCATGAGTACGAGCTTTGCACACTTCCGAAACCCACCATTTACACTGCACCAGCCCAGAACACAGAAACCATGAACTGAGTTCTCAATTCCTGCTTCTAGTTCTATTAACTCTTAACCCCCATCCGCCTGCTTGGGAGAAGAGGGGACGGGACAGGGCAGCGGCACCCCTCAGCTGGCCCCTACCCCACGCATCCATTCCACCATTTTCTTTCTCCCTCCCTTCTTTCCCTCTTGCATTTATTTATTTTTATTTATTCACGGGGACACCTGATCTGGGCTTGATCTCAATCCTGTAAGATTCTGTTGTCAACCTTGAAAGGCTCTCAAATTCTGCCACCCCTGATAAGAGTTATTTTTTAAATCATTCACTTTTTGAGTTTACAGCATGCTTTCTATGGTGATTCCAAGCACTCTGTTTTGCTTTGTCGTGTGACCATTAAAAGACCACTGACATATTTATATGTGCAAATTTCTGGTGTCTGAATCCAAGGTAATCCAAGGGCCCCCATCCCCCCTTCGATTTTGAACTTCTAGAAGAGGAGGAAGAGGAGAGAGAGGGACAGAGTGAGAGAGAAGAAGGAGAAGAAAAAAGAAGTGGTCTGTCGTTTGATATTTTACCCCCAAGGCTGGAAAGGGCATTTCTCTGTCCTCCTACAGGGAAGTGGGAAGGCTCTTCTCCCTTCTGTCAATGCAGCTGGTAAACACCGACACAAGTAAGCCTCATTAATAGCTGAGGAACAAAGTCAATTCCTATCTCCAAAAGCGTCACAGGCAACAGTACCAGCGAACACAGTCTTTCCAAAATAACTTTAACCTGTGGGGAAAATCACTATCAACACAAAAATCATTTGGAGAACTGGAACTGAAGAGGTAAATCTGAGACACCGGGGTCTCCACGCCCTGACTGTCCTCTCGACTCTCAAAGCGAGGCACCCATACTCCTCAAGGCTGATCAGAGGTTGCCAGGATTTGAATGTTAAGGAGGTTCTGGTCCCAGTGAACCAGAGAAGAAGGCCAGGCTGTCACCCCCAGTAAAGCAGACAGACTGGGAAGCCCTCCTCCTCCCCCCTCGTCCCTCATTTCCTCCTGCTATTTATGCTGAGTTATTCTGAATTAAGTTTCCTTTTGTCCCCAACTTGAAAAACAAATGTACATGTCCCCCACCTACCATCCCCCACAAAAGGCAGCTTATCAAAGGGCCCACCACAGAGTCTGGCCCTAAGGTTCTCATCATTAGCAATATCTAATGATAACAGAACGCATTCACGCATGCCCGCCAAGGGAATGCCCAGCCCAGTACTTCTCCCATCTCCGCTTTGACGACCGGGATTCTTCTTGACACTGCCCAATCCTGTGTCTAATGGATCCTCGATTCCAGAAAACCTGCCACTTGGTTAGCTCAGGCTCTTTAGCCAGAAAGGTCTGGGTTTGAGTCCAAGTCTGTCACTTATGCTCTTGGCGACTCTGTAATTGTTAACCTCTGAGGTTCAGCTGCTCTGCCTCTAAACCACACCCCAAGATTGTGGTGAGAGCGGAATAATGTACACAAGAGGCCTCACCTATGCCCAAAGTCATAACCAGTCCAGTTAAAGAGTTAAGCCTCACGCTTTGACGACTATGGCAATGTAGCCAAGAACAACAAAACTGGCCTCTTCGTCCAGTTTTCTGCACCGGCAGATGGAAGTCTGTCTCCATCTTCCCAGAAAGGAGGGGGTTATACAGCCTTAAATGTGGTTCGTCATTTTTGGTAAATTGGGAGCCAAATTCTTAAAATTAATTGCCGGGGTTGCCCAGAGCCATCTCTAAGGGAGTGTATGTGACCAAACCAGCATCAGTGACTTCATCCGTGCTGTCCCATCTTTTAAAAGGACACGTGTCCGTGCTCCTTCCCATGACTGAACAGAACTCTAAAATCCGGGGCACCTGGGTGGCTCAGTGGGTTAAGCCTCTGCTTTCGGCTCAGGTCATGATCTCACGGTCCTGGAATCGGCCTCGCATCGGGCTCTCTGCTCAGCGGGGAGTCTGCTTCCTCCTCTCTCTCTGCCTGCCTCTCTGCCTACTTGGGATCTCTGTCTGCCAAATAAATAAATAAAATATTAAAAAAAAAAAGAATTCTAAAACCCACTTGTAGAAAGAAGTTCGTGGCAATGTGTTAACGAACGGTGCAGCCATGACAAAATGGTTTTCTGTTCACTTTTAAGAGCTGGTGAAGGAGGAAGTTGAAATTAACCTCAGCTCTTTTAAGAGTTAAAACCTCAACAAATAAACGGCGGTTTGGTGGCGTGGTCGCCCGCCGCCCTCTTCCCTTACGCTGCTTCAGATAATTTGAGATGCCTATTTTGAGTGATTCTCCAGCACATCTGATTCTAGATAGAGGCGTTATTCTAGATCTGTGATTTCCTACTGACAGAGTTAAAGGGGCAGGCATAACTCTCCGAAGAAGGCACAACCTCCCTGTCAACCATGATCCCTCCAAACCCCGAGTCGCGGACGTTTCCCGAGGCAGAAAACATCCACACATCTGTACGGCACTGCTGTAGGATGTCTGTGACTACCTTTGGGATATTTTTCTTACCACGATGGCTGCTGTTTCAAAGAGAGCCATAAACACATACTGGATTTTTATATAATGCATCTTCTTAAATATAATATGGAGTCTCTACAGCTAAGCCAGGAAAATAACCATTTTCCTACTCGTCAAGAACAAAATGAAGGTTCTGGCTGAAAGAGACTTTACTATTATTCCCGTTCACTTTCTAATTTCAGGGGTAAAAAAACATCCCAAGGGTCTACTCAAAACATGACTAGGATAAAAAAGCATTTTCTTACAGGGGAAAAAAAAAAAGAAAGAGAAAGGAAAAGCAGTTTTACATGAATATATCCTGGATAGTTATTTTTTTTTTTTAAAGTTCTTACGATTTTACAAGTGAAGGACTGAAGAGCCAATCATATTTTGGAAAGAAAATGCATCAGCAATATAGTTAACACATTCTTTAAAACAGCAACCAAGCCTCTAGGGCACTCTAAAAGCAAGTTATTATTACTTACATGTTGCAGAAGTAAAAAGTTTTTAAAAGGAACAAGAAAGGGGTGAGGCTCTGTGTTAAACCTGATCCTCTGCTAAGTAAGCATACAATATTCCAAGGAGCTAAAGAATGCCCGTCCGGCCGCGGCGATGTCTCCACCCCAGAGCTGGTGACTGCTGAGGACAAGAATTCACTTGCCACCCTCCCCCTCTTGTTTTTGGGAAAAAGAGCCTATCTGACAAGGAGGCAAATCAGACCTGATTTGCTCCTCGCCAAAACTGTCCAAAACCAAGCCGACCTAATAGTGGCCATCATCTCGCCGCTGCGTGGCTGAATCATTGCTTTTAAAAATGCTTCATGATTTTGGTTCCAGTTATCGGTGGAAGAAGGCGAGTCCCTTCATCAGCTGAGGAGGTCAAACCATCGGTTACACGATGAGAGAATAAGAACATAGAAGTCTTCCCTTTGATGTTACAAATGGAGGCCGGAAGATGGCATAAATTAATTTAAATGGCCCTACACACACGATCAAGGAATCTCCTTGAGAATTTGTTCTGTTCGGAAGGAAAATTTCATTTCACTCCTCACCCGTCTCTCTCACTTAACTCAATCCGATTTACCGCACACACTTGCATTTTGGCATTGAAAGAAAAATCAATATGCATAGTTTGAACAAGTATTCATGATCAGCGCCACAAAACTGATGATTCCAAGGCGGCTTTCTCCTAAACACACCGAAGATGAGTCCGTAGATGAGAGAGAAAGCACCAGCATCAAGATTTAGATTTCTGTTTGGAGACAAGGGGCCCCGCCCTACGGATGGGCCACTTCGCAGCTGTGCGCATAGTATCTGATGGGAAGCCTTCTCTGGGAACTTTCCCCTCAAATAACAGAACCTCCCCCAGACACATAATAAGGAGAGCTTGTGGCATGAGCTATAAAACTCTGGGCAAGAAAGAAAGCATGCTTGCCTTTCGAGAGCCCCGCATGTGCTCACACCGAAAGCTAGCCACTGGTCCAAAAACCTTAAAGACCTCAAGACGAGCACACATCCCACGGTAGGACTCACACAGTGAAAACCCCTGGGGAAGCTAATTTCTCCGGCCCCAGAGGGCAAGCAGCATGTCCCTGGCTGGCCACCTGCCCTCTCCCCCAGATGTGTTGCTTATCTCTCCCTCTGAGTTAGACAAGCCTGCTACTTGGAGAAAGAATCTTACTGTGACCGTTTGCACACAGCTGTGTCCTGCGCAGCACACAGAAAATGACTACATTTTGGAAATTCGAAATGGTATCACAGAGCAAATAATCATTGACGTCAGTGGTTTCTACAGTGCAAATGAACTCTGTGTACTATCTAATTTGGCACAGTGTATTTTATGTAATTATTGTATTTTACAGTGTTTTTTCCTTTTTTTTTTTTTTTGGCATTTGTTTGTTAAACCCGGGTATGTGTATATGGGGGGGTTCATCTGCATTTTTTACTGATTGTCCATTTATTTATTATAAATAGTACCTTTGATGTGCTGGCATCCATACTTTCCTAATATTTCTTTATACTTTTAAAAGAACATGTATTAGATACAAACCCCACAAACAATCTGAAGGCAACAACGACTTGAAACATCCTGACATTCACCTGTTTGCATTGTGTGTGTGTGTGTGTGTGTGTGTGTGTGTGTGTGTGTGTGTGTTCAAGCCAACATAGCCAAAGCAAACTCTTAAAAAATGCAAGCTATTATCTACGTAGAGCTCTCTCTCTCCATAGCCCCGGTACATGTGCCTCTTGATCTGGGGATCTCATTACAGCGCAGATCTGACTCAGGAGGTCTGGGGCGGGCCAGAGACTGCCCTCTAACAGGTTCCCAGGCTGCGGGTCCAAGGACCATTTGAGCAAGGAGGAGAAGACAGGACTGGTCTAGGGGAGTGTGGCCCGAGGGCAAGGCGGGAAGCAGGCTCCCTCCAGGTACTTACCCTGCATCTGACTCTGAGGCTGAGGGTTAAAGGCAGTGGAGTGGTTCAAGGAGGCCCGAGGGTTGGGTGTGGGGGCTGGGTGGTGTGGGCTGACCCTCATGGCTGTTCGCCGCAGCTGCCCCAGCTCAGGGAGCCGCTCGGAAAAGGACGAGCTCCGGGGCTGGTTCGGATCATGGGTTTTCGGGGGTTGTCGGGGGGGGGGGGGGGGGGGGGGGGGGTGAGAAGGGGAGAGGGAGGCAAGGAAGGAGGGAGGGAAAAGATCAGAAAATGTATTGTGGCTTTTCTAAAATTCGGGGTTTTCTTGTCTTTCCCCTCCCTCTTCCCCTCACCCCCAACGTGGATTTACAGGAGGTTGGCACACATGGGGCTGGCTCCCCGTGGAAATTCAGGGCCACTGTCCCCACGGCAGACAGGGGGGCCCATTTCATCACAGGCCGCTGGGTGCTCCCCTGGTCTGCGCCCCATCTCCCCAACCCTCTGCGCCCATCTCCACCCGGCAGAAGGTGGTGGGCATACAGGGATGGTGGTGGTGTGAGGTCAGAAGGGAGAGAAGGTGCATTAAGGGTTGGCCCTTGGCCATGCGCTGCGGGCCGAGCTATGGCAGCCAGGAAAGACGCCCTCCCTGTGGCATCGGAACCGCCGCTCCTTACTGCAAACCCAACCACCGGCAGGTTTTAGAGGCAGCAAAGTGGGCCCTGGAGCATATTAGCGCACGCCCCTTCCAACAGGAAATGAGGTGTGGCTGTGAACCCACGGTACTTGGGGAGGTCAGATTTCCTGATAAATGCAGGGCCTGGGCAGCCCTCAGCCCCTCTCCGCTCCCTCTCCTCAAAAGCTTCTCACAAGCATTCTTCTTCCCTGAAGCCCACTTCCCTAGGTGTAGCCTCTAAGAGGGGGCTGACCAGAAGGTAGAGCCTGGGCCTCAGCTGGGCCATCTACCCAGCAGGCTGGGCCTACTGGAGCCCAGAGGCTCTGCCAGGAGGCTGGATGAGCTTCCCCCAGGGGCTCAGGAATCAAAGGTGGAAAGGTGGGCCCCTCCGCTGTCGGTATAGACAGTATCTATCCTTGCCTTGTTCCCCATCAAAATCACTGTCACCAGGATGCAGTGAGCAGAGGCCATTCCCATGGGACAGGCCAGGAGGGTTGGGCCTGCTGTTTCCTTCCTTAATCCTCCCAACAACGGCGCTCTAGACTAGAGACTCGGGCCTGTCAAGCAGAACGGAGGCTCAGGATGTACTGATAGAGGCACTGTGGGGCCGACAATTCATTCTCCTTTCCAAGAGGATATGCCCCTGCTTCTTCCTCACCCCTGTGGTTCGAATAAAGAGTCATTGATCAATTTGCCACCAACCACACCCCCCCCCAACACCCCCGCTCCGCCAACCATCATCAGGGGGCTCCAAACAACATTAGGGGAGCAGCCTGCTTGCTGTGGTAATCAAGGGCTCTTTCACACGCCCTGACCCAGACCTCACTTAGAAAGAGGATCCCTGGATTCCACTCCCCCGGGCCTGGGTAGGAGTGGGGTGGGAGAGGTGCATTTTAGCCCAGCTCCCAATCGCTACAATTACAAAATTAAATTTTATAACTTGTATTATGGTTCCAAATCTCCGTGGCTGGCCGTTCCTTCCTGCTGCCAGGCCCCTTGGCACGGTTGACACAGTCTCAAATTCCAGACCAAAAAAAGGCCCCACTATATTGCAGTGATTTTTATCATGAACAAGACCTGTTTGGCTCCGAAACGAGGAAAACGACTTAAGTATAATATTTGTGTAGTTCAAATGCAATGCTCCCTCTTTTCATGTGTCACCAAGGCAAATCTGGATTCTGATTCAGCCCCGCAGCCCACAACACTCGACCTGAACACAAACAGCCTGAGTCACACTGGGCCAGCACACATGTGAGAGGCCTCTTACCGGCTGAGTATTTTAAGCACTGGCCTTGTGGGCAAAAGGCCATAGGGCCAGGTCCCGGAACCACTCATGTTATCCCTTTCCCTCAGAAGAATGAAAATGTCTTTTTCTAGAACATTCTATTTCAGTCGACCGTGGTGTAACTGTCTCTGGATGGATCTTTCCTTGACTCCTCCCTCCTCTTATCTTTGGAACAGATTCTTAGCTTTCTGGTGATCGGACTAAAAAATCTGGTATTCTTATGCCCCTAAAATTTCCAACTCAAAGGCCACTCAAAGCATAGTAATTAGGCCTTTAAAATGCCTAGCATGACCTAATGGCTGGTATTAGGAGTCGGGCAGAGAAGGCAGGAAAAATGATATTGGACAGTTCTACCACCTCCAGAAGAATGCCGGTTGGAGAAATCATGGTGCAGAGGCTTCCAGCAGGCTTTGTACCCATTTCAAAATTTCACATTCCTTGGGCACCCAGTGGCATTTTTGAAGAACACCGTGTCAAGGACAGTGGGTGATCCAGGAGAATGATGTGTACGAGGTCATTCTAAATACAAGCATTCGACATCTGGGGAGTTTACGGTTGGCCTTCAAAGAAAGGCTGTCAGTTGCATCTGTCTCAGCCACCAACCTTGGGGACCACATACCGCCAAGAAACAGAGAGAGAATAAGTCATTTTAGGTAACCCACTACTATGGCCAGGCATAATGTGAGATTATTATTTTTTTTTATTAGTCCCCTCTCATTGCCCTATGTTTAAAGGAATGTTTTAACATGTGAGCAATTTCTGGACCAGGGGACACCTGCCAAAATCGTAGTCATTTACAGAGATTAGCTGATGACTGTCTGCTTTAGCAGGAATGTTCAGGCATAACTTTCAGAGAAAACAATTCTTCACTCTGAGCTATCTCCTAGGCCCTGTGAGTTGGGAGGCTGAGTTTAATGCTGGAGGAGGAGTGGGGGGGGGCGTTCACTCCACACCCTCCCCACATATGGTCCTGGCAGTAAGTAGAAATGTTATTGCCTCTGTAGGGAATCTAGAGCCCCTTCCTCACCATGGTGCTGGAGGACTGTAACACCAAAGCACCGGGGAAATAAAAAGCATTATCATATTAAAGGTGTGGTTCAGATGCATTTATAAGCTAGATCAAAAGAACACCTCATTCTTCTTTTCTGAAGCCATCAGATTTCATGGGCCAAAGAGCAATATTTTGTAAGAAATACAGAAGCTTCCGATATAAACTTTCAAGCGGGGGAAAATGAATGCTTTATGTCTCCGGTTTCCTGTATCTGTGTGCAATTAAAATGTCAATTTGCCCCCTGAATTTTAAATACAGGAGTATGGGAAATGTCCACTATCAAACTCACTTTCCTTCTTTCCTTCTGAGTACTGGGCTTCCGAGGGCAGCAGGGAATTCAACTCTGGTTCAGATCTAGTAGAATTACAATGCAGCCCTATGCATTTGCATGTTGGCCGCCTGGGTTTGGGGGCACACTGGAAGTCCACTGGAAAATGTTGACACAGTGGCTACCTCAAGATTTCATAGTAGGACATCTTAATGAATCTTGACTAGAGTTGAAAAGGATACTAAATTATGTTTCTCTATTACCATTCCCACATTTTGAAAAAAAGTCTTTGATTGGGATTTTATTATACATGCAGAGTCATAAAAAGCCGAAAGAAAAAAAAATAAAGAAAAATAAATTAATCCCATCTGCTAAATTTTACTTCTTCATTCCAAAGACATATGTCCTGTAGTTTTCTGGGCTGGCTGCCCACAAGGCATCCCTAAATGTTATGATATCTGTGATGGATAATGAGACCAGCTTTCAATTTTCCGCTATAAAAAACGAGACTGAGGAGGTATGCATATTTCATCTATAACTGAACTGTCTTTTTCAAGAAACCATTGCTGAACTATGAAATATGCTATATGCTCTTCTATGAAAGAAAACAGGTAAGGCTAATTGTAGCCTTTTCCTGGAAAATGCTGGTCAGAGAGTAATTTTATGGCAGTTTGTTAGTCCATGTTTCTGGAATGGGCTTACTACTTTTCTTGACAGATTCTCAGCAGAAAAAGTAGGAAGGTGTAGACTCAAAGCATGGTCATCGTGAGCTGTTGAGGAAAATGCATGCAAAATGATCATACCAAAAAGAGATCTATCTCTCTGTGTATCCACTTACATCTGTATCTATCTATACGTAACATTGTGATTCTTCTAAAAGCATACATGTATTTTAAAACATGCTTGCCAATCAGTCTGATACTAACAACAGGGATCTGGTTAAAAAAACATGGATTCCACCCCCACCAAAACACACACCTTAATTTGCTACTGCTTTATGACAGTGGAAAAGAAACTGATGTGTGTACAGAACAGCTCGCGTTTCCTGGTGTAACAATCTAAACTCTGGGCTCCAGGGTCATTAAAGTCCTAAGGACAGGAAAGTAATCATACCGAATGTGAATGTGATCCTTCCTTAAAGCACCTTGTAGGTAATGAAATAAATCTTACCCGGAAACCTAGCCCTCTGCTGGCTTATTTAACGTTGGATAGTATTGTCCCATTGTGTATATCACAGTAGAAAATATAACATGGGATATATATGTTACTATATTATATATTAAAATATATATTGTATCTACATGTTTCTATATTAGCAAATGTTATATAAACTTCGGTGGCCTAAATTTTACCTCCAACTTCTTCACATATTATTAAACTAGGAGATCCGTACAAAGTTATAGTACTTCACAACTGGAGAAGAGCTGGAGAAATCAGCCTTGTTTTTTAACCCATATTTGAGAAGTGAAGTTCAGAGAGGTTACGTCATTTATCTAATCTCACACAGCCAATTAGGTCTGAAAACACAGCCACTCCCTCAACATCCCTCCTCCTCCCCAATCTTGCTCAATGCATTTATAAATACCTATTTCTGGGCACCCCCAGTAAGTAGAGAGGAGAGGTGTATAGCATTAGGTGCTTATAGATCATGGGGCCAGCAGACACTCATAAGGATTTGCCCTTTATTATCCCACTTCTGTTCCCAGAAGAGATTAGAGCCACAGCCGTCTTATGACCCATAGTAGAGAGCTGTCTCACACACCCGAATAAGCATCTGAATCACGGGTCTGGCTTGGTAGGTCTGGGGTGTGGCCCGAGAAATCAGATTTCTACTAAACCCCAAGTGATGTTAATGCTGCTGGTCCCGGGACTATCCCGGGGAGTTGAGCGACTCCTCCCTGTGGTGCATGTGCCATCAGTGTG